GCTACTGGCGGCCACGGTCATGCTCCTATGCCAGTCATGAAGCCCTCAGCAGCGGTCACTCCAGAGAAGTGTGAGGCAGAAATGCCAGCAGCGGCGTTTAGGACATGGAGGCGGTCCATGGAGTCGTAGGTGCTGTTGAACGGATGGTAACAACTGGTGGCCACACTCCACATTCACCTGAACTGCGTCCCTGCACTCCAAAGGGTGATTGACTCGAGATATCCCAGCGGTCAGTGGGAGCAGCTCTAGCCCAAGGAAGCCCTGGACGCCATCAGTGGAGTGGTTCTTCAATCGTCAAACCAAGCTGTGAAATGGAACGAGTTTTTGAACAGCAAACAAGGTGAAGAGGAGCCCATGAAAAGGTATTTTCAACGATGCTTCGCAGAGGTAGTGGAGTGTGAATTTAAATGTCCCACCTGTGATAACGACCTCTCTGAGTACATGCTATTACGTAAAGTTATGGTGGGCCTGAGTAACCCAGTGTTGAAAAGGGAAATTTTCTAGAGGTACTCGAGTTATAATAGTGTTGAAGTGCTTAGAAACAAATTCATGTTATTTGAGGCAGCAGTGAGAGATGCTGGTGTATTGTGTCGTACGTCTGGCCGGGCAGTGGTGGGAACAGCCACGGAGGCAGCGGCGGTTGGTGATGACGTCACGGGTGAGTCTGAGGTAGCTGCCACCCGTCCTGGACACCCCAGTCGCGCGCACTGTGGGAACTGCGGCATGACACATGCCTCCGGTAAAAGCAACTGCCCTGCAAGTGGGGCCAGGTGCTGTCACAGTGGCAACAGCCCAGCTATCCCGCCACCCCAGGTTACAAGTGATCGTGACCCAGGCTGGGGGCAATTCCCCCGCCACCCCTGTGCTGGTTGTGGCTGACAAGGGTACTATGGTGTGTGTGGCAGGGGCATCCCTGCTCCGGGACATCGGTTTGTGTCCCGGGCAACTTCGGGCCAGTAATGGCCTGAGGGACGTGGCGAACAAACAGCTCAAGTGTCTGGGGTCCGCCCCCTGCCGCCTCAGTGTGGGTGAGGGGTCCACCGTCCAGGAGGTCTACTTCGTACAGACAGCCAAGGCCCTCTACCTGTCATTGGAGGCCTGCAAGTGCCTCAACTTGGTGCCTGTCGACTTCCCGCTCCATAGACGTGCTGTGGCTGCCGTGGGCGATGGAGGGGAGCGGCACACTGCCGACGACCTACCTCCGAACCCTTTACCTGAGAGCAGTCGTGTCCCTCCTAGGCCAGTTGAGATACCCTTGCCTCCTTTGGAGGAGAATGTGGCCAGGTTGGAGGCATGGCTGCTCACACACTTTTCGTCTACCGCATTCAACACCAGCAGGTCCCCACTGCCAGTCATGACTGGTCCCCCTCACCGTATCCACCTGACGCCCGGCACGACCCCCTACGCCTGTCACACACGTGCTCCCTTTCCGAAACACTTGGAAGCGGAGGTGAAGGCCCAGTTGGAGGAGGATGTCAGAAGAGGTGTCATCCAGCCAGTGCCTGCTGGTGAGGCTACGGAGTGGTGCGCCAGGATGGTCGTAGTGGCCAAGAAAAACGGTCAGCCCAGGCGCACTGTAGATTTCCAACACCTCAATGCAAGCTGTCTGAGGGAGACGCACCACACACCTGCACCATTCGATATGGTGTCCGGGGTGCCAGTGCACTCGTTCAAAACCGTCGCCGACGCCTTCTGGGGATTTCATCAGGTGGAGTTGGAGGAGGAGAGTAGACGCCTGACCACGTTCATCACGTCGTGGGGGCGTTTTCGATACTGCTGGACGCCCATGGGACATTGTTCAGCGTCAGATGCCTACACCAAGAGGTTTGATGACGCTGTCCAGGATGTGCCCCGCAAGTACAAGTGCTTGGATGACTCTATCCTCTATGACTCCAGTGTGAAGAGGGCGTTCTGGCACACCTACGATTTTCTGGAGACCTGCGCTCGCACCGGTATCACACTGAAACCAGAAAAGTTCTTGTTCTGCAGGAGAGAAGCCGAGTTTGTGGGTTTCCTCCTGGGGTGGGACCTCTACCAGCCCACTGCCCAACGTCTGTCAGCCATCAAGGACTTCCCCATGCCTGATCAGCCATCAATCACTGACATCAAGTCCTGGCATGGCCTGGTTAACCAGTTGGCTCCCTTCCTTGCCACTGCAGCTGTGATGGAGCCCTTCCGTGAGCTCCTCAAGTAACCAGTGGGCAAGCGGGTGTATTGGGACGACCAGCTGTGGCTCAAGTTTCGCCAGGCCCAGGACACCATCTGTCAGTTGGCCAGGGACGGTTTGGTGTACTACGCCAAATCCAGGCCTACGGCAGCTGTCACGGATTGGAGCAGGGAGGGCATCGGCTTCGTCGTCCTGCAACAATACTGTGCCTGTGCCTCTCCAAAGACGCCCTTCTGCTGCAGGGGAGGGTGGCGGTTGGCTCTGTGCGGTAGCCGACATCTGAGCACGGCCGAGGCCGGCTACGCTGCAGTAGAATGGGAGGCCCTGTCTGTGGTATGGTGCCTGCGCAAGGCCAGGCTGTTCCTCCTTGGCTGCCCGAACCTTATTCTGGTGACGGCCCACCGCCCCTTAGTTGGCTTGCTAGGGGACAGAGCCCTCACGGATGTGGCGAATCCGCGCCTGTTCAGGCTCAAGGAGAAGACCTTACAGTACCGGTTCACGGTCAAGTACTTGCCAGGGAAGCGGAACTGTGCAGCTGACACCCTATCCCGCTTCCCCTCCCTCAGGGCGGCGCCCGACGCGGAGGACATGGACCAAGAGGAGGACCTGTGCACTGCAGTGTGTGCAGTCACAATTGCAGCACTGGATGAGGATGGGTGCATCACTATGGATGAAGACACAGTGTGCAAAGCGGCTGCAGACGACCCAGTGTACCAGATTCTAGTGTCGAGGGTGCTGGCGAGCGACTGGCGCCCCCAAAAGTCACAGGAGGTGGCCTGTCTGTGCCCATACTTCTCGGTGAGGGACAGGTTGGGTGTGGTCAGGGGTTTGGTCAACTACACCTTTGACCAGGGCTGCACGCGCCTTGTCATCCCCGACTCCCTCCGCCAACGGGTCGCCATTAACCTGCACGTGGGGCACCAGGGCCTCGATCAATGCTCAGGCAGGCCCGGCAGTCTGTCTATTGGCCTGGCATGGAGGGTGACCTGCAGTATCATAGGTCCCGGTGTGCTGCCTGCGAGACCCACTCCCCTTCCCAGCCTCCGGAGTCGTTGGTCTTGACCCCAGCGCCAGACTATCCCTTTCAACAATTGGTGGCCGATTTGTTCCACCTGCAGGGCCACACGTACCAGCATATGCTGACCGACTCACAGGTTGGCTGGAGATCGCCCACTTCCCCAACAAGGCCACCTCTGGAAAAATCATCGCCCGTCTGCGGGGTTACTTCACGAGGTGGGGGGCACCTGAGCAGATCTCCACGGATGGAGGTACCAACCTTGCCAGCCTTGAGATGACAGATTTCCTCAAGTCATGGGGAATCGAGGTGCACCTCTCGTCGACCCACTTCCCCCAGTCCAATGGCAGGGCAGAGGCTGGGGTCAAGGCCGCCAAGAGGCTCCTCAGGGATAACACTGGGCCCGGGGGTAGCCTGGACTGCGATAAGACATCCCAGGCACTCCTCCAGTACCTGAACACGCCTCTACGGGGGGTGAACAAGTCGCCCGCCCAACTTGCCACCGGCCGCCAGCTCCGTGACGGAGTTCCTGTGGCCAGACAGCACTATAAGGTGGACCAGCACTGGCGGCGGGCACTTCGTATGAGGGAGGTGCGCTTCGCCAGAACCCAGGACGGGGTCCTTCTGTCGCGGGGGGAGGTGTTCCGCCAGCTAGCTCCCCTAGCCGTGGACACGAAGTTGCGTGTGCAGGACGCAGCTACCAAGCTCTGGGACAGGACAGGCATAGTGGTGGAAGCCAGCCCTCACAGGCAGTATGCCGTCAGGTTGATTGGCAGTGGCAGGGTGTCCATCCGCAACAGACGCAACCTGCGAAGCGGCGCAACGCCTGTGCCTACCACTCCGGTGGTGCATCAAGCTATGCCTCCAGGCCCCCCTTCTGCGGTGCCCTCCATACCCACGCCCTCGCTCGCACCCCTGGCCCCTCCCCAGTCGGGCGTGGCCAGGCCCGGGAGAGGCCGCAGGCCCCCAGGTTGGTTGACTGACTACGTGGTGTAGTGTATGTGGTGTAAAATTAGTTTAGAGTTTTTTTTTTTCTCCTGTGTCTTTGTTTGACTGGTTTTTTCTAGCATTAGTGTTTTTTATGAATGCATTGTTTTCCTTTTGTTAGTTCAAATGTGCATTGTCATTTCCTTTTAACTTGGGGAGGGGGGAGATGTGAGATTGTGAAATGGAGTACCATCGTACGATATGTTTTCCCATGTGTTGAGGTGGGAGCTTGTCTGTGGCAGCGCCCGGTTGCCAGTCACCATCTGACACTGTAAGAGTAAAGTCTGCAAAGAACGTGGTCTAGTATTCAAACCTCTCACACTTCCTCTTAAGTTATATTTCTTCTCAAGGTGTGCTGCCTCTTGAGTTAAATTCCCTATTCTGGTATACAATTTAGGCTATATTCCTGCCTGTAGGGTATGTTTACGCTCAAGATATGCTTCCTTTTAGAATTAGGCTTCCTCTTAAGATATACTCCTTATTAAAGTATACTTTCACTTAAAGTATACTTGCTTCTGAAATATATTTCCTCGTGAGATGTACTTCTTAAAGTATACTTTCATCTTATGGTACACTTAAAGGAGATATAACTAAAGGAGAAGCTACTTTAAGAAGTAATGACTACGGTTTTTCCTTTATCTGTATATCATGTTCTCATTTTAGACTTCGTTCTGTTAATATCTTCTGTAATATTTAGTTTATTTTTCATTTCATAAAACTTTCTTATCTTTCAATACTTCTTAACCATAGAACACAAACGATCTGTTCGATTTCATACATCGCAAACCCAGGGAGAAAAATACCCAATTTTCGGATCAATAAAAACCGTACTTGTAATTAAGATATATTAAAATTATAAAAATACATGGAAAATATAACTCTTCTGCTTTAGTTTCCCCCTAGGAACCATGACATAACTTAAACTTATACTTTGGGGGGTGACTTAGAAAAAATGACTAAAAATACTGAAAATTACTATATGAGTGAACATAAAAAAGCTAAGGAACTATAATACTGCAGCTAAAGGCTTGAGCGTTGGTGTGGGTACTGCCAGGTCAGGTGAGCCTCAGCTGTGGCAGCCGCAACCTCCCAGCATCACTGCGAGCTGTAGATAGAGAGCCAAAAAATAGGGTATTTTTTGATAGGCAGAAATACCCTTTCTGCAATATATATTTATTATAAATAATTTTAACTATTATTTACCCTTCTAAATGATACTTTTGGATTACTAATAAATTACCCAGTGATGGAAAGCATATTCAATGGATTTTTTTTAGGTGAAACTTTTTTATTTTTTTGAAGTGACAAAAATTTCAGAAAGTCTTTCTCCTGTGGTTTGAAACTTGATATTTATTGATGGCTAGTATAAAATAAATAAGTATTGCTGACAACTACCAAGAACTCAACCTACTTTGGCACGCAGTTAGCACAGACAGGGTAGAAGTGGCGAGGGCACATCGGTTGACTGCAGCCGTGGCATCTGTGCCGTGTCTTGCGGTCAGACCCCTTTGGGCACTCGACACACCGCACCAAAGGGTCCTTGCTGTCAGCAACTGGTGTCCCTGGTGGCCTTGCAACTCTTCCAGGTGAAGGGAGGTCGCAGACGCTGCAAATGAGGGACTTGAGTCCCCGTGATAGAAATGGAGAGCGGAGCCTTTTCTCTGCCCATGGTGTGAAGAGGGACTGTGCCAAAGCTTGCATGTACGTCCGCCTCTTCAGTAACTTGCCACCTGTCCTTGACATATTATTTTTGTGTATGATCCACGTAACTCCAGCATTCACCATCCACTAGAACATACACAACGGCCACCGTTTTGTCTTCCGTGCACACGAGTAATGGGAACACATTTGGTCGAATGTGTCTTCGCCACCTTTGGTGGCATTATAGAATTCGATCACCTCTGGTTTGCCGGTGTTTCTGATGGTTGGCTGTGTGTGCATGGAAGACAACAGTAGCACCAGTTTCTTCTTCGTCTTGGATGTTGTTGGGACGTACGCCACCAGAGTCAGCTCCTTTGTGAACAGGAACGCAGTTGACCCTAGCCTGCGGTTGTCCCTATCCGTCATCTCCTTGGGAACTTCCTTCTTGTTCGCCTTGATGGTCCCCAAAAAGGACATGCCGCAGTTCTCAAGGAGATCAACCGCTAGGGGCAGGAGCAGGGGCAAGACACCTATAGGCACCACGACGTTTTGCAGAGGTTGACGTACGCCTTGCTTTTTCTCTTGAGGGTGGCAGAAGGGGCACTTCACTATCACTAGACTCATAACTCTCCACATCACTAGGTTCAGGGTTGTAATCTTGGTCTATATCACTGTCATATAGTTCCTCAAATTCTAACTTATCCACTTGTTCTTCATCCTCACTGTCAAGATCACTTAGGTTCTCAGGTAATTCACCAGTAGTGTTCAGAATGTGGTCCAGATCATCCTGGGAGAGAAAATCTTTAGACCTCTTTGCCATTGTTCACTAAAGTCACTAAATTACCCTGAAAAAATTATATTTCACTGCATGCAAAACGTAAATAACAAACATAATATTTGTGTATTGTATCACAAACCTCGGGTGAAAATCTCCCAAAATGCACTATAACCAAAAACCAAATCTGCGAGCAGCGCGGGACACCCAACCTCTACCACTGCTACACAAAGACTAAAGCCACAGGGCGCCCCACGCCTCTCCTGCCACTGACCATGCGGTGATCACGTGGTCGGACAACTATATTGTTATTTGCTTTAACTTATTTTATAGTTTTTTATCTTCGAGATATCGATATTTTTAATGCAAAACTTCTCAAGTCAAAATAACATTAAACAATACCTAGACATGGAAAAGAGGGTGCGAGAGCGATATTCTTGGATTCCAATCAGTAAGTGTACTTATAAAGGAAGTCATCCCAGCAGGGGGGAGAGTCTTTTCAGCCGTTTTCGAATCAGTGGACTACACGAACGATTATGATGTAGTATACCTCGACTTTACCAAAGCCTTCGACAGAGTCCCCCACAAAAGACTAATAAGAAAAGTAGAGGCTCATGGCATTGGGGGAGATATTCTAAAATGGTTAGGGCATGGTTACAAGACAGGAATCAGCGAGTGAGTTTTAACGGCACTAAATCCGATAATTTTCTTTTCCGGGAATTAGCCCACCAGGGCACGAGTCAATGACCCACATCAGGGCCTGGGGGCGAAATAATAATAATAAAAATAATAATAAAAATAATAATAATAATAATAATAATAATAATAATAATAATAATAATAATAAATAACAAAATCTTATAATAAAAAGAAAAATCTCTCTCTATATATATATATATATATATATATATATATATATATATATATATATATATGTATATATAAATATATAAAACGAACAAGTATGTCTGTGTGTGTGTTTGTGTGTGTGTGTGTCTCAACGAGAATCTCGGAACTACTTTACCGATATGTAGTGATGATGGATGGTGTTACATGAAGTGATGATGGATGGTGTTATATGCAGTGATGATGGAAGATGATGGTATATGTAGTGATGATGGATGTTGTTATATGTAGTGATGATGGGTGGTGTTATATGTAGTGATGATGGATGGCATTATATGTGGTGATGATGGATGGTGTTATATGTAGTGATAATGAATGATGTTATATGTAGTGATGATGGATGGTGTTATATGTAATCATGATGGATGATGTTATATGTAGTGATAATGGGTGGTGTTATTTGTAGTGATGATTAGACAATAAAATAATAACAGTTTAATGCTAAAAAAATATACTTTGCTGTACCGTTGTAGTGAAAAACATGGTAGAACTTACATACACCGTTAATGAACTATTGATGGAAGAAGAAGTTTTGGGGACTGAACAGTGAGACAATGTGGAGCCTCCCAGAGGGTGGGGTCCTACCTTGACCAAGTGAATGAGCCGCCCGTCTGTTTGTGGGTGGGTTTGTTTGTTTGCGTGTTCGAACGAGAATCTCGGAAACTACTTTACCGATGTGTAGTGAAGATGGATGGTGTTATATGTAGTGATGATGGATGGTGTTATATGTAGTGATGATGGATGATGTTATATGTAGTGATGATGCATGGTGTTATATGTAGTGATGATGGATGGTGTTATATGTAGTGATGATGGATGATGTTATAGTAGTGAAAAACATGGTAGAACTTACATACACCGTTAATGAACTATTGATGGAAGAAGAAGTTTTGGGGACTGAACAGTGAGACAATGTGGAGCCTCCCAGAGGGTGGGGTCCTACCTTGACCAAGTGAATGAGCCGCCCGTCTGTTTGTGGGTGGGTTTGTTTGTTTGCGTGTTCGAACGAGAATCTCGGAAACTACTTTACCGATGTGTAGTGATGATGGATGGTGTTATATGTAGTGATGATGGATGGTGTTATATGTAGTGATGATGGATGATGTTATATGTAGTGATGATGCATGGTGTTATATGTAGTGATGATGGATGGTGTTATATGTAGTGATGATGGATGATGTTATATGTAGTGATGGTGGATGGTGTTATATGTAGTGATGATGGATGATGTTCTATGTAGTGATGATGGATGATGTTATATGTAGTGATGATGGATGGTGTTATATGTAGTGATGATGGATAATGTTATATGTAGTGATGGTGGATGGTATTATATGTAGTGTTGCTGAATGATGTTATATGTAGTGATGATGGATGATGTTATATGTAGTGATGATGGGTGGTGTTATATGTAGTGATGATGGATGGTGTTATATGTAGTGATGATGGATGGTGTTAAAGGTAGTGATGATGGATGGTGTTATATGTAGTGATGATGGACGGTGATATATGTAGTGATGATGGATGGTGTTATATGTAGTGATGATGGATGGTGTTATATGTGGTGATTATATGTATGTGGTGATATATGATGGATGATGTTATATGTAGTGATGATGGGTGGTGTTATATGTAGTGATGATGGATGGTGTTATATGTAGTGATGATGGATGGTGTTAAAGGTAGTGATGATGGATGGTGTTATATGTAGTGATGATGGACGGTGATATATGTAGTGATGATGGATGGTGTTATATGTAGTGATGATGGATGGTGTTATATGTAGTGATTATGATGGATGGTGTTATATGTAGTGATGATGGATGGTGTTATATGTAGTGATGCCGATGGATGGTGTTATATGTAGTGATGATGGATGGTGTTATATGTAGTGATGATGGATGGTGTTATATGTAGTGATGATGGATGTTGTTATATGTAGTGAGTGATGGAATGGTGCGTTTTATGTAGTGATGATGGATGATGTTATATGTAGTGATGATGGATGGTGTTTTATGTAGTGATGATGGATGGTGTTATATGTAGTGATGATGGGTGGTGTTATATGTAGTGATGATGGATGATGTTATATGTAGTGATGATGGATGGTGTTTTATGTAGTGATGATGGATGATGTTATATGTAGTGATGATGGGTGGTGTTATATGTGGTGATGATGCATGGTGTTATATGTAGTGATGATGGGTGGTGTTATATGTAGGGATGATGGGTGGTGTTATATGTAGTGATGATGGATGATGTTATATGTAGTGATGATGGATGATGCTATATGAAGTGATGATGGATGGTGTTATATGTAGTGATGATGGATGATGTTATATGTAGTGATGGTGGAGGGTGTTATATGTAGTGATGCTGAATGACGTTATATGTAGTGATGATGGATGATGTTATATGTAGCGATGATGGATGGTGGTATATGTATTGATGATGGATGGTGTTATATGTAGTGATGATGCATGGTGTTATATGTAAGGATGATGGGTGGTGTTATATGTAGTGATGATGGGTGGTGTTATATGTAGTGATGATGGATGGCATTATATGTAGTGATGATGGATGGTGTTATATGTAGTGATGATGAATGATGTTATATGTAGTGATGATGGATGATGTTATATGTAGCGATGATGGATGGTGGTATATGTATTGATGATGGATGGTGTTATATGTAGTGATGATGCATGGTGTTATATGTAAGGATGATGGGTGGTGTTATATGTAGTGATGATGGATGGTGTTATATGTAGTGGTGATGATGATGGATGGTGTTATATGTAGTGATGATGGATGATGTTATATGTAGTGATGATGGATGGTGTTATATGTAGTGATGATGGATGGTGTTATATGTAGTGATGATTGATGGTGTTATATGTAGTGATGATGGATGGTGTTATAGGTAGTGATGATGGATGGTGTTATATGTAGTGATGATGGATGGCAAGCAGGCGTAGTGATGATGAATGATGTTATATGTAGTGATGATGGATGATGTTATATGTAGCGATGATGGATGGTGGTATATGTATTGATGATGGATGGTGTTATATGTAGTGATGATGCATGGTGTTATATGTAAGGATGATGGGTGGTGTTATATGTAGTGATGATGGATGGTGTTATATGTAGTGGTGATGATGATGGATGGTGTTATATGTAGTGATGATGGATGATGTTATATGTAGTGATGATGGATGGTGTTATATGTAGTGATGATGGATGGTGTTATATGTAGTGATGATTGATGGTGTTATATGTAGTGATGATGGATGGTGTTATATGTAGTGATGATGGATGATGTTATATGTAGTGATGATGGATGACGTTATATGTAGTGATGATGGATGATGTTATATGTAGTGATGGTGGATGGTGTTATATGTACTGATGATGGATGGTGTTATATGTAGAAATGATGGATGATGTTATATGTAGTGATGGTGGATGGTGTTATATGTAGTGATGATGGATGGTGTTATATGTAGTGGTGAAGGATGATGTTATATGTAGTGATAATGGATGGTGTTATATGTAGAGATGCTGAATGATGTTATATGTAGTGATGATGGATGGTGTTATATGTAGTGATGATGGATGGTGTTATATGTAGTAATGATGGATGACGTTATATGTAGTGATGATGGATGATGTTATATGTAGTGATGGTGGATGGTGTTATATGTACTGATGATGGATGGTGTTATATGTGGTGATGATGGATGGTGTTATATGTAGTGATAATGGATGATGTTATATGCAGTAATGATGGATGGTGTTATATGTAGTGATGATGATGGATGGTGTTATATGTAGTGATGATGGATGGTGTTATATGTAGTGATGATGGCTGGTGTTATATGTAGTGATGATGGATGATGTTATATGTAGTGATGGTGGATGGTGTTATATGTAGTGATGATGGATGGTGTTATATGTATCGATGATGGATGGTGTTATATGAAAAGATGATGGATGAGCGTTATAGTATATTGATGGATGGTGTTATATGTAGTGTGATGATGAAGGATGCAAAAAGTATATGTAGTGATGATGGATGGTGTTATATGTAGTGATGATGGATGGTGTTATATGTAGTGATGATGGATGGTGTTATATGTAGTGATGATGGATGGTGTTATATGCAGTGATGATGGATGGTGTTATATGTAGTGATGATGGATGATGTTATATGAAGTGATGATGTATGGTGTTATATGTAGTGATGATGGATGGTGTTATATGTAGTGATGATGGATGGTGTTATATGTAGTGATGGTGGATGGTGTTATATGTAGTGATGAGGGATGGTGTTATATGTAGTGATGATGGATGATGTTAAATGTAGTGATGATGGATGGTGTTATATGTAATGATGATGGATGGTGTTATATGTAGTGATGACGGGTGGTATTATATGTAGTGATGATGGATGGTGTTATATGTAGTGATGATGGATGGTGTTATATGTAGTGATAATGGATGGTGTTATATGTAGTGATGATGGATGATGTTATATGTAGTGATGGTGGATGGTGTTATATGTAGTGATGATGGATGGTGTTATATGTAGTGATGATGCATGGTGTTATATGTTGTGATGATGGATGGTGTTATATGTAGTGATAATGGATGGTGTTATATGTAGTGATGATGGATGGTGTTATATGTAGTGATGATGGATGGTGTTATATGTAGTGATGCTGAATGATATTATATGTAGTGATAATGGATGGTGTTATATGTAGTGATGATGGGTGGTGTTATATGTAGTGATGATGGAATGTTATATGTAGTGATGATGATGGATGTATAGTGATGATGATGGATGG